AAGGAACTCATGGAATATTATTCAAAATGGGTGACCCTGGAGGACATTATGCTGAGTGAAATATCTCAGTCACAAAGGGACAAATACTGCATGGTGCCACTGTTGTAGAATGGGTCTGACATCAGGGTTGAGGTAAGACTGAGAAAACACTGGATAAATTATATATACTGTATTGAAACAGATGAGGGAAAGAACAGATTAGAGGTGATGTATGATTATTATGGTTAGCAGAGGAATCCAGAATTAAGGTTACATGGAGAAGTGTACTCGGTGTGGGGGTGGGGGGGAAGGGATGGGGGAATTTTATACCAGTGAGGGAATTTTTTTTCTTTTTCTTTTCAGAGAGGGGAGCGAACTGGTGGGGAGGGGTGGGCAGGGAGAAAAGTGCAGCAATGAATGAATGAAAATCCAAAATCTCTGTAAATGTTTATTAAAATTCATTAAAAAAATTAAAAAATACTTTTAAAAAAAAGAGAATAAACCAAAACGGAAAAAATCATGGAATCTCTAAAGCTATGTCTCCACCCCTGGTAATAGTAGGATGGGCAGTATTCTACTGTGAAATTTAATGCCTCTGGGAATCCACAGGAAAGTCAGTATCAGATGGGTACATAACAACAGTGTAACCTAATTTTTGGTGGGCTTGAAATGTCTTTGTACTAATAAGGTGAATTGGAACAGAAACAACAATGTGGAAGACTAGACAGTAGACGTCATGCTTACCTGTGTTCTTATGAAAACTATCTGATTATTTGTTTTATATACACTTATGTTAAATTTTCATACGTGGTACAGTTAGCATACTGGCATACATGGTATAGTTAGTAGATGGTTGTACTACTAACCCAATCATGGGGCCCTCTCTAGTAGTTAAAATCCATCAACAGCTACTCAGGAGAAAGATGGACAATTTCCACCCAAGGGATTTATAGCCCTTGAAAAACCACCCAAATGTCGGCTATGAATTGGTTCTGACTCCATGGTAATGACTTTGACTTTTTAAATTCCAACTCTGTCTGTATTGGCATTGTGATTTCTGAGACTTAGCTTTCACAGAAGTAAGCACAGTCAAGCTTTGTGCATCCAAAGTCACTTCTTCCAGTGCCAGTCTTCAGTAGAACAATGTTGAAATTACTAATGATATTTTTAAGTGTAATAGAGAGAATCATAAAGGTGGAAGGATCTTGAAAAATCCAACAGGAAAGTACAATCGGTGAGAAGAAAGTAAAGAATTTTGGAGTTGACTGAGGGGAAGGTGAAAAGTGGGAGGTCCTCAAGTTCACATCTGTTGGATATGATTTTCTGATTTTTATTTTGGTGTCTCATCTGAGAGTCTGGACTTAGTGTTTGATTTGGTTTGTTTCTAGAATAAAAAACCCATTCTGATCATGGAATTCTGGGTTGGATGGTTTGACACTTGGGGAAGCAAACACTTTGCTAAAGATGTAAAGGGTAAGTGTTTGCCCTTAGACACAATGCTAGCAAGAGTGAATCTAAGCCAGTGTCCACATATACATTGTCCTAGAAGGCATTAATGATGTATAATCAACAATTACATTTGAAGAAACAGTGAAAGCTAGATAATTAGGTGACAGGAGGACTTTGAATGATTATTTGATAGTGTGGTAAGCAAATTATGTTAATACTGTGGGGGGAAAGAAATTTTCAAACTGTTGATGGGACTTGGTCTTCTCGTCAATTCCACTCATTTTCTGGTTGAGATTTTAGTGGAGATTGTGTAATGAACAAGTTGTATGTGAGACTGGATTCATCAGAGACTTTTCCCTCCTGCTTAATTGATATTTTTTCTGTATTTTCTCATCTTCTCTTTCACAGACGTTGAGGATACTGTGCTTAAATTAATCAAAGCTGAGATTTCCTTCAACATGTATATGTTCCATGGTGGGACCAACTTTGGCTTTATGAATGGGGCCACACACTTTAAGAACTACAGAAGTGTTGTCACGAGTTATGGCAAGTGTTCTCTTCTGTGATCACCCAGCATAGGTGGCCTTGGCACTTTATTGTAGAGGGTTCTTAACTCAATATAGTGAAACACTGAGGAGTTTCATATCTATTTTCCTTTATTTCATGACCTTAAGGATATCACAGTTTCCTGTTACTTGTAGTAGTTGGGACAAGACAGCCTGAAACTACACAGTTATGTATTACTTATTTGTGCATATTATTAGCCTTGACCTGGTCACTCTGTATCTTCTACTAGAGATGGACATGGATGAGAAATGCTGTGCTGGAAGAGACAAGCACAGCTGGGCCACCAGCACTGGTGGAAGCTGAGAGTTTGCATGGAAACTGAGACAGAGAAGTGAGCCCAGTGCCTTGGGCTCTCAATAAAAGTTGTAGGAAGGATTCCAAAGTTTACCCTGTACCCTGCATCCCAAGCTGACATAGGAAGTTTTCCAGAGACAAGGAACAGGTGTTTGCCTTCCCATTGCTCTCTATCCTCAGATCACTGTGGCACTGACCACACTACCAGTCCTGGAATCTCCCAGAACTCTGCTGAAGCAAGGATTGTCAGAGAGGCCTGAGTTGTTAATGATGGGTCCTTGGTGTCTTTCAGACTATGATGCTGTGCTGACCGAGGCAGGGGATTACACAGAAAAATATTTCAGGCTTCGAAAACTCTTTGGATCTTTCTTAGGTACTTAGCAGCCATTTAAATCTGAAAAATGAGCTTTCTAGTGAACTGTCTGTATTCTGAGAAAAGGCGAAATCTATGCCAGGAAACAGCAGTTTAATAAAGTGCTTCAGTGCAAAGACAACTTTAACTGGCTTTCCTGCTGCAAAGATGTGTAATTTTACATTAACTGCTTTATTTTAAGCCATTTAGCCTTGATTTCTTCATGGAAACATGGATAATAATCTTAGCTTCTGTGAGTATCTTGAAGATGAAGTTATTACATCTAAAGCTCTTACTACAGTGTACACCAGTAAGCTCATGGTACAGATGGAAAAACTTGTTCTGCTCAATTATATTTATTTGAATAAAATTAAATAACCATGTACTATGTGTTAGAACAAACAGGTAAGTCTTAGAGAAAGTACAGAATGCTCCTTAGAGACAAGGATAACAAAACCTCATCTCACATTCTTTGGGCATGTTGTTAGGAAGGACCTCTTTGGAAAAGGACACTATGCTTGGAAAGGTGGAGGGAGGGAGAGAGAGAGAGATCCTTAGTCAAATGGATTGACAGATTGACACAATTGCCACAGCAATGGGCTCAAGTATGTCAGAGATGATGAGGAGAGGACAAGGTTCAGAACCATTGTTCATAGACTTGCTCTGGGTCATATTCAATTTGATGAGACCTAACAACAACAATGTAATCCCAGAAATTGGTGAAGATTAATGCTGTCAAGTTGAGAGTCCTTGCTTCCTAAGAGCCCTCAATCTGTAAGTCAGACAGGTAAAACCTCTTAGAGGTCTTCCTAAATATCTACTAAAACATGAAATGGTTATCAATGCCCTTGGAGAAGCACACTAGGCTCTGGGATAGAAGAATCAATGAGAGGGATGAGGGAGCTCAAAAATAACAGTGGTTATTTCAGATCCACTGGACCATTTCCATTGCAGCCACTGCTTTGCCTCCTTTACCTGACCTAGTTCCAAAGGCTGTGTATCCAGCTGTGAGAATGTCACTCTTTTTGCCACTGTGGGATGTCCTGAAGTACTTGGATGAGGTAAGATCTTCCCCTAGAACTGACAAGGGGTACCAGTTAAGAAATGGGGAAGAATGCTTGGACTACAGAACGTACAAGGGAGCTTTTCACTAGGAGCTATTGAAACAAATCATCTACATTTTGTCTAAATTTAGACCGGTGTAACAAGAGCCACAGAATCATTGTGGATGGATTGTGAACAAGTTGTAACTTTTTCCTGTAGAATTATGGAGGTCATAGTGGTTTTTTTACCTTTGTCAACTGGATTTGTTTGGATTTCCTCATGTCTTCCCTTTCTATAGCAATATTGTGCTGGTAAATCTTGTATTATACATAGATTTTTCCCTTCCCTCCCATCCCTGGTAACTACTGAAAAAATATTTCTTTGTGTGAATTCTTCTTTATCTTTTTATAATAGCAGGTACATATAATATTTATACTTTTATGACTGGTTTATTTTATTCAGCCAAACTACCTGGCCAACTGACTGGAATAGATCCATATTTATTCCCATTCTACAGGGAAAAAAACAAAACAAAACAATAACAAAAAAAAATGTAACTCAATAGAGTATGGAAAGTATCGAACAATATCACTAATATCACACACAATCAAAATCCTGCTTTAGATTGACCAAAAACAACTGGAACAGTACATCAACAGAGAACTGCCAGAAGTACAAGCTGTGTTTAGAAGAGGCCATAGCACTAGAGATAATTATCACCAATATCAGCTTGATCTTAGCAGAAAGCAAAGAGTAATGGAGGAATGTTTATTTGTGTTTCATTGACTATGCAAAGGCATTTTACTGTGTGGATCACAACAAACTGTGCTAATCTTGGGGAGAATGTGAATCTCACCCAGAACCCTTGATTGTGCTTATGCCAAACCTATGCTTGAATGGGGAAGCAGTCCTCAGAACAGACCAGGGAAACACCACATGGTTCAGGATCAAGAAAGAATTGCATCAAGGATACGTCCTGTCTCATACCTTTTCAATTTATATGCAGAACAGATCATTCAGGAAGCTGGGATTTTTGAGGAGGAATGTAGCATCAGGATTGAAGGAACAACATCCTATGTTATACAGATGACACAACCATGCTCTCTGAAATTGAGGAGGACCTGAAGCACTTGCTGCAGAAGGTCAAGGATTGTAGTTTTCAATATGAATTGAAGTTCAACTTCAAGAAGACAAAGATTCTCACCATTGGGCTAACTGGTAGCACAATGATGGATGGAGAAAAGATTGAGGTTGTTAACAGTTATAGCTTGCTCAGCTCCACAATCAACACTCTTTGTACTAGCAGTCAGGAAATAAAAAGACAAAAATTGTACTGGGAAAATCTGCTGTCAGGGACCTTTCCAGAGTACTGAGAAGCAATGATATCAGTCTAGTGACTAAGGTGAACCTGATCCAGGCCATGGTCTTCACAATTATTTACTGTGTATCAGAGAGCTGGACAATGGCAAAGGTAACAGAAGAATTGATGCCTTTGAGCTGTGGTGTTGGAGAAAAGTCTTGAACATACCATGAACCACCAAGGAAACAAACAGGTCTGTTTTGGAGAGGGTGAAATCAAGTTTTCCCTGCAGGCTAGAATTTTGAAGCTGCATCCCACAAGTTTGGGCATGTGGCCAGTAAAGACTGGTCCTTGGAAAAGGACATTATGCTTGGAAGGGTGAAGGGACAGCACAGAAGACGAAGATCCCTGATGAGATGGCTTGATACAGTAACTGGGGTCATATGGGTAGGTGTGTCGCACTGGCTCAGGACAGGGTAGACTTCAGAGCTGTTGTACATAGGGTCACTATGAGTCACAGATAACTTGATAGCACATAACAATAGCAACACAATCTCCTCTAGATGTAGCCAAGTTCAGCGATTTCCAAATCTTTTTTATTCCATAGTAATCCACTAAGTGTATGTGTTATAGCTTGTTTATCTATTCATCCATTGTTGAACATTTGGGATTTGTCTATATCTTAGTTGCTATAAATAATGCTGTAATAAACATGAGAAGAAAAGGTTGAAATTTGAAGAGTAAGTAGAAGTTGCAGGATATTGGAGAATTCTGCTTTCTAACTCAGATAAACTGGTGACGGTCAGTGTGTGAGCCTGAATGAACTATATAGGGAAAACTACTGAATGAGAAACCTATGAAGTAAGTTTTGTCTAATTAAACAAAATTTGTCTAGATTACTGAACTTTTGTGAACCTGTGCTGAAGAATAAAAAATTAAATTTCTTTGAAAAATACATTGTTGGTGTTCCTATGTGCCATTGAGTGGTCTGAGACTCATAGCAATTCTATGTACAATAGCTCTAAACCCTGCTCTATCTTGTGCCATTCTCACTGACTCTGACACACCTATCCCATTATACCAGTCACTGAATCGATCCATCTCATTGAGAGTCTTCCTCTCTTGTGCTGTCCCTCCACTCTCCCAAGCATGACGTCCTTCTCCAAGGACTGATCCAGCTTTGCAGCATGCCCAAAGTATGTCAAATGGAGCTTCAGAATTCTTGCCTACAAGGAGCAGCCTGGTTTCACCGTCTCCAGGATGAACTTGTTTGTTCTAGGAGTCCATGGTATGTATACTCAACACTCTTCTTTAGCACCACAGCCCAAAGGCATCAATTCTCATTCTATCACCTCTAGTCATTTTCCAGCTTTCTGACACATAGCACGTAACTGCTAAGACTATGACCTGGATCAGACACACCTTAGTCTCCAGACTGACATCATTGTTCTTCAGTACCCTGAAGATATCCCTGACAGCAGACTTTCCCCAATGCAATTTGTCTTTTGATTTCCTGACTGCTGGTACCAATAATGTTGATTGTAGAACCAAGCAAACTAAACCTGTTAACAATCTCAATTTCTTCAACATCTGTCATGATGGTGTCAATTGACCCAGTGGTCAGAGTCTGTTTTCTTGATGTTAAGCTTCAATCCATACTAAGGATGACAGTCCTTGATCTTCTGCTACAAGGTCCTTCTCAGTTTCAGTAAGCAAGATTGTGTCATCTGCATAATGGAGATTGCTGATGAGTCTTCCTCCAATCCTGATGCCACATTACTCCCTCATAAAGTTTAACCTCATAAATGATCTGTTCTGCATATAGACTGAAAAGGTTTGTAGAAAGGCAGGACACATCCCTGATGCTCTTCTCTCCTGATTTTAAACCATGGAGTTGCTCTGTTCTGACGATCTCTTTTTAGTACAAGTATAGGTTTCACATGAGCAATGTTAAGTGTTTTCGGATTCTCATTCTCAAGATAAGCCACAATTTGTTGTGATCCTCACAGTCTTTAAATAGTCAAGGAAACACAAACAGGCATTCCTCTGGTGTTCTATGCTTTCAACCAAGATCTGTCTGACATTGTCCATGATTGGCTATGACTCTAGTGCTATGGCTTCTTCTAAATACAGCTTGCTCTTCTGGGAGTTCTCTGTCAATGCACTGTCCCAGTTGTTTTTGGATAATCTTCAGCAGAATTTTGCTTGTGTGTGATATTGTTCAATAATCTCCACACTCAGTTGGTTCACATTTTTTTGGAATGGGAATAAATATGGATCTCTTCCAGTCAGTGAGGCCAGGTGGTTGTCCTCAGTATTTCTTGGCACAACTGGTGAGCATGTCCAGTTCTGCATGTGTTTATTGAAGTATGTTAGTACGCCATCAATTCCAGGGGCCTTGTTTTTTGCTAATTTCTTCAGAGAAATTTAGGTGTCATAAAAAAGTAGCAAAGGTATTGGAAAGATTGTTCCTGACTTATCACTCTGGTTTCTATTCATACCCTATTTCCTTCATAGCCAGTGAAATCTGATACACCAATCAATATGGAGAATCTTCCTATAAACCATGGGAATGGTCAGTCCTATGGATTTGTACTCTACGAGACTTCTATATGCTCTGGAGGTAAACTGCATCTTCATGTTCAAGATTTGGCACAGGTAGGGGTCAGTGAGCTGTCCATGGTGGTAAATAAAACTTTTCATAACTGCTATTGATGAAGGTAGTCACTGGTTAATATCATTATGCTATAGTATGTTGAGCAAGGAATTCTGGTGGCATTACAACTAAATGTTTGACTGTTAATCTAAAAGTTGGTGATTTGAACCCACCTTTTAGTTCCTTAGGGAGTTCTGATGGCATAATTGTAAGGAGTTGTGTTGTTGATACAAAAGTGCCTGGTTCAAATCTGCCATGAGAGAAAGATGGACAATCTCCTTTGTGAGTCGCTGCCTCTGAAGACCCATTGGAAGGTGGCTATGAGTCTGTTCTGACTCAGTGGTGCACAACAACAGTTCCGATGGTCATCTACTTCTATAGCAAATATAGAATAGGAAACCCTGTTGGATAATTCTACTCTGTCACATGGAGCTACTATGAGTCTGAATCAACTCAACAGCAACCAGCAAGAAGTGTTGGATGGTGGAACACACAGTTAAATCACACAGACTGGTTTTCTGCTTTCATGTATTCCTCAAAATACATGTTGGGACCTCAATCCCTATACCTGTGAAGATAATATAATAAGTCTATATTTAATATAATGTAATTACGTTCTATACTGCAATCTAATGTTATATAATAAGCTGAGCTATAGAGTGGATCCTAAACCAAGTAACTCCTGGCTTACATATACAGCAGTTTGGGCACAGACAGAAACACATATAAGGAAGAAGATAGGTAGGAATACTGACACCATATGAGTTCTATTTCCAAACCAAGAGACCAAAGAATGCACACAAGTACGTATAAGGGAGGAGGAGATATGTACAAGACCCTGATTGGGCTTCTGTCCTCTAAAACTGAGAAAATGCATTTATGTTCTTCAAAGCCACACATTTGTGGGATTTCTATTACAATAGTACTAAGAATTTAAGACAAGCCTAGTGGAGAATCCATATCAAAATTGGTGATTGGGGCATTTGGATAAGCTCCTTATTAAAATGATAGCATAAGTCATAGAATGTAGCATCTGCCTCACTCACTCTGCCGTTGAAATGAACACATGCACAATTAATTGTCTTGAGTGAAAACTGGTTCTCTAAAGGAGCTCTGGTGGCACAATACATATTGTGTTGTACTGCTGTCTCCTCCTGTTATGAATTAGCATCTCACAAACCTGGTGGAAGCTTAATAGGAACTGGAACTGACTTGAGAGCAGTGAATTTTAGGGAATTAAGACAAAGTCTAATGAAGAATTCAAATAAATATTGATGAATTTGATGATTATGATGGAGAAAAGAGGTAACAATGAGGCTCATGGATGAGCTTCTTATCCAGAGAGAAGCAGAAACTATAACGTATAGCATCTGGTTCATTTGCTATTGATATTCACACATGTGCAACTGATTTTCTAAAGTGAAATCTTGTCTGAAATATTAGATGTGAAGTCTAAGTGGAATTTCCAGATCTCCCTCTACTACAGCCTCTGTAGTACACAGACTCAGCAGAGGAAGGATAAAATGAAAGCTGAGAGTCCACTCATTCTATTTATATTATGATTCACAGGGGATGTTGTCACTGCTGCACCTATCTTTATCTGTAGTTATTCTTTGTTCTTTCTTTTGCTCATTGGGCCCAATCATTGCACTCATCTCAGCTAGACAGAGTCTCCAATGGGAGGTGGCTAATATGTCATAGTTATGCTTCTTTAATGATATTTTATTCTTGCAATTCCTCATCACCTAGGTATCTGAGAGCACCAACATCAATCTTTTTTTTTTTCATCATGGCTACCTTTTCCAGAAATCAGTCTTTTTCCCCCTCTCTCTTTCTTTGAGTGGGCTTAGAAGTCTAACACTAGCTCCTTATTTTGCAGGTATTTTTAAATGAGAAAGTTATAGGTGTTCTGAGCAATGGTTTTCAGAAACTGAACATTCCCAGATTCCAGGTATGTATGTATCAAGGGCTTGAAGATACAATATTTAAGTTCTTTACTGCTAACCAAAAGACTTGCTGTTTGAGTCTACCAGCAGCTTAAAATTGCTTTCAAATATTACAGCCTAGGAATACTTTGGAGCCATTGTACTGTCTCATAGGGTCACTTAAATTGAAATCCACTAGATGGTTGTTCTTGTTGTTGTTCTTGTTAGGTGCCACCAAATCAAGTGTGATGTATAATGACCCAATGAACAAACTACCTAAACCCTGTTCTATCCTGTGCCATCTTCACACTACCTGACACACTAAAGCTCATTGTGGCAGTTATTGTGTCAATCCACCTTGTTGAGGGTTTTCCTCTCCTTCCATGACCACCCCCCTTTCGAGCATCATGCCTCTCTACATGGAATAGCCCCTCCAACAACATGGACAAAGTATGTGAGGTGAAGCCTCATCATTCTTGTCTCCAAAGGGCACCCTGGCTGCACTCTCTCCAGACATATTGTTTGTTCTTTTGGTCGTTCATGGGCTATTCAGGGCTCTTCTCCAACACCACAGCTCAAAGGCATCAATTCTTCTTCTATCATCCTTATTCATTGTCCAGCTCTCAAATGCATAGCAAGAGATAGGAAAGACCATGGCCTGATTTAGATGCACCTTAGTCCTAAAACTGACGTCATTACTTCTCAATAAGATGGTACACAAAAGCAAAACAATGAACAAGGGTCTGGATCCTTGATCATATGAAACATATCCAGGTCCTAAGAAATAATTCCTTTCCATACCACCACCTTTCTATATTGCTTTTTATTGGAAGTCCTATCAGAAAGAGATAAGGCTATAAGAATAATCCCATCTGGATGTATCAGTTTTAGTGTGAGTAGACAGTCTCTCTTGTATGTTATTTTACTCCTATATCCTTGAGTCACTCATCCAGTTTGGGTCTCAGGTAAATGACACAACCAAATCTCTAAATATTTCCAGCTAAAGCTTTGTCCAAGTAGAACAGCAGAGGGTAAGAGGGAAGATTGAGTATGGAACAGAAATATCAAGGGGTTCTTTATTTCCCCAGCCTCATTTCTTTTTTTTTAATTTAAATTGATTTTCATGAACGTTAACAGACTTTGGATTTCCATTCATTCATTGTTGCACTTTTCCCCCTGCCCACCCTTCCCCTAATTCATTTTTCTTTTTGAAAAGTAAAAGACAAAAATTTTTGTCATTCAATCCCTCCCCCAAGTCCATTCCACTATGCTACCTTTGTTCTGGACTCCTGTCATAACCATAATATCTAACCTATATCCCTTTTAAACAGTTTTAATCATCTGTTTCAATGCAGTATACATTAACACCCAAGGGCTATAGGGTTCTAAAGGCTTCTATAAGAGGGGGGAAATGGATTATAAGCGGGATTGTACCAAACAGGGTTGCCAGCTTCTAAGGATTCTGGTGGAGAATCAAGGACGAGTCAATTATTCTTGGAAAATTCAAGAACAACAGAAAGGTATGTTCTGGGTTTGAAAAGATGCTCTAGCTTCTCTTTAAGAGTTGTTTGGTCTACACTGAAATTGGGGTAGAATCCCTGAGGTCATAGAATACTAATGCCTAGAAGTAAAGATTCTTCTCTTTCCTCCCAAGGACACTTTTCTGAGACTACTGCTAAGTGAGGTGTACTCTTCTGGCCTCATGGTTCAACTCAAAACTCAAATTCAGATTCATTTCCATGAGTTGGAACTGACCTTTCAGCAGGTTTTCAGGAGACTCCATTGAACAGGAAAAGGTGGCTAATCTTTCTCTGATGAAGCTGTTGGTGGAATCAAACCACCAAAGAGAAATCACCTTGCAACTCCCTAAGGACTCTGCCATCAGCGTTCCCTTTGTGTTCCAAATACTGATACTTAGAGATCCTTGGAGTAAAACCTATTTATGCAGAAAAAAGCATAAAGTAGCTATGTAGGATCCTGTTCTCTCAGTCAAACCACTTTCCTTAATGCCCTTCTGTCTTAGACTGAGTTCTCTAGAGCAGCAAAATCAATGAAGTGTGTGTGCATGCCAGAGAGAGAGAAAGGGAGAATGAGAGAAAGAGCCTTGTCTTAGGAAAAGGTTCACATACTTATAGCACATATACAGATCAGCACATCCCAGTGTTATTGAATACAAGGGGTTCTTTCCATGGTCAATGTCAAAGAAGACAGACAGATTACAATATCCAAAGCACTTTATTGCAAATCTGGGATCTGCTCTGGGAGAGCAGAGATTGGTTTGTTTTTATTTTTTTATTTTCTACTAGTTTATTTTCAAAACTAGAATACATTGTTTTCAAGAACAAATTCTTTCCATTTACCTCACCCCTCCACACATCAAATTGTCCAACCGCATGACTAACTCCCCTCCCCCTGCACACCCTCATCCCTCTGATTCCAACCTCTCCCACCCCTCTTGGATCCTTATACTCTCAATTCTACAGTAATGGTTTTATACAATACTTGTCCTTATGGTACTGAGTTAGTTCACTCATTATAATGCTCTCTAGTCCCTGCCAAGCTAGGTAATAATTTACAAAACCACAGAGCACAGAATCTTCTCAATTTTTTTATACTTGTGGTACATGTTACAATTACTAGTAAACAAACAGCTTGTAATATAGTTTACATATGATTGAGAAAAACATTTCAAAGAGGTAAATGCAAATTCAAATATATATAACTGAGAAAAATATTTTCAAAGAGGTAGATGCTAATCCAGAAAACAATTACATATAACTGAGAAAAACAGTTTTAAAGAGGTGAATACTAATCCAGGAAAGATGCATTTCCTTCCCTGGTAAATAAACTATATGACTAAAGAAAAATAGAATTATAGGGCAAAGCAACCAGTTTTGCAGACTAGAGGCAACTGAAGTCAGTTTTACAACTACACCACATGTTTTGAGTAATCCTAACTTTATTAGTACCACCTTATCACCAGGTCTGTGAGTCAGACTTGAGGACAGAGCTGGATGGCAGGTAAGGCAGAGAATCAGAATTGACAAACAAGATACTGGATCTAGATTGAGCAAAGGCAAGAGAGTTTTGCCATATGTTTATACATATTCAATGTAAACAGTACTTCCAACGAAATTCCTTTTTAATTAATTGGCTGTTAGTAATAAATTTTATCATGAAAGTGATTACATTATGGAAGAACTTATCAAGAAAATTATAACATCAGTTCTCGTCAAGGGAATTATTCCATTACATTAACTCCCATAAAGGGAATGACTATACTACATCAGCTTTCATCGAGGGAGTAATTACATTTTAACTGTCAAAGCAGAGAATCCCAGGCAGCCAAGGTAACACACTAGCTTAAGCATCATGCCTTCTGATCAGTTGTTTTTGTTACGTGCCTTTGAATTGGACCTGATTCATAACAACCTTATTTACAATGAAAAATTTCTCAATTAGGCTTTCATGAAACAGCATATGAGCAAAAGTCTGTGGTGATGAAGGAAGAAGTTGAAACTGCTCTGAAAGAATTGGCAAAAAACAAGACCCTAGGAATTGATGGCATACCAATTGACATACTTCAACAAACAGATGCTACCTTAGATGTGCTTACAAAGTTGAGCCAATAAATCTGGAGCACAACCATCTGGCCAACTGTCTAGAAGAGATCTACAATTTTCCTATTCCAAATAAAGGTGACCTGATAGAATGTGGAAATTATTGAGCAATATCATTAATATCACATGCAAGCAAGATTCTGATGAAAATTCTCCAAAAACAACTAGAACAGCACATCAACAGAGACCTTCCAGAAGTGTAAACTGGGTTTAGAAGAGGCTATTGTATTAGGGATATTTCAGCTGTTACATGGATCTTGGCTGAAAGCAGGGAGTACCAGAAGATTGCCTATCTGTGTTTCATTAACTATGCACAGGCATTTGACTGTGTGGATCACAACAAACTGGCTAACTCCGAGAAGAATGGGAATCCTAGAACACATGATTACGTTTATGCAAAACCTATACTTGGACCAGGAGGCAATTATCAGAACAGAGCAAGGAAACACTGCATGGCTCAAAATTGGGAAGGGTGTATGCCAGGGATGTGTCCTACCTCCATACCTTTTCAATCTATATGCACAACAGATTATCCGAGAGGCTGGGCTCTATGAGGAGAAGTGTGGCATCTGGATTAGAGGAAGACCCATCAACAGTCTGTGTTATGCAGATGACACAATCTTGCTTGCTGAAACGGAGGAGGACCTGAAGCTCTTGCTGCAGAAGGCCAAGGACTGCAGCCTTCAATATGGATTCAAGTTCAGCATCAAGAAAACTAAGATTCTCAACCACTGGGCCCATTGGCAGCATCATGATTGATGGTGAAGAGATTGAGATTGTTAACAGCTTTAGTTTGCTTGGCTTCATAATCAACACTCTTGGTACCAATAGCCAGGAAAGTAAAAGATAAATTGCATCGGGAAAGTCTACTATCAGAGACTTCTCCAAAGTACTGAAGAGCAATGATTTCTGTCTAGAGACTAAGGTGTGCCTGATCCAGTCTGTAATCTTTGCTGTTGCTTGTTATGCATCAGAAAGCTGAACAATGACTAGGAATGATTGGAGGAGAATTGATACTTTTGAGCTGTGGTGCTGGATAAGAGTGTTAACTATACCATGGACTGCTAGAAGAACTAACAGGTGAGAGAGGGTGAGACCAGGCTGCCCCTTGGAGGCAAGGGTTCTGAAGCTTCATCTGACATAATTTGAACATGTTGCAAGGAGGGACCAGTCCTTGGAGAGGAACATCATGTTAGGAAGAGTGGAGGGACAGCGCAAGTGAGGAAGACCCTCGATGAGATGGATTGATTCAGTGACTGGTGTAATGGGGATAGGTTTGTCAGAGACAATAAGACTGGCACAGGGTAGAACAGGGTTTAGTGCTGTCATACAGAGTCTCTATGAGTTGCAGGCAAGTCAACAGCACAAAACAACAATAAATAATAATAATAATTCATAGATACAAAGCTATCTTTCCTTTTACTTAAGGGAAAAAATGAAATTTGTGGATGTCTTTGAATGAGAAGGAATACAAGATACTTGAATATTTAAGTGTTAAACATGACAAATTAGGAACATTTTCCTCCTTATGTATTTTTTTTTTCCTCCTCAGGACCTGGGGCCCAGGGCACTTGGGCTGCTACTTTTCAAAACCACTGAAATTCCCCTCATATATCTGCTCCATCTTCTCTACCTTCTCTAATGTTTGACCTCTTTGTGAAGAGAACCTCTTCTTAAATGTTATACTGCTTATCCTAGAGCATTGTTGAAACTTCTCTTGGGATTTCAGGAGAAGTTGTATAATTAGGGAAGAACTGTCTTGCTAGGTTGTACTCAGAGAACATATACAATAATAAACCTCAATCATACATACATGGTTAGACACAGGTATACCTTCACAGTTGAATCTTTATCACAATGAATGTGTGTGTCTGTATTTCTTTGACCCTAACTGTGGAGAATATCCAACCTCTATTCATATTTTCTTTCTTAACCCCCCATTTGCAGGACTAAGTAAGGATATTTTTATCAATAACATTACCCTGAAAGGTTTCACTATTTATGCTCTGGAAATGAAAACTAACTTCTTTAAGAGGTATGTTCCTACCCCTACCCAGTAGAAACTTAGATTAGTCATGTAACATAGAAGGCATTGATTTAATTCCTATAGTAGGGAACTCTGGTGTCTTAGTGGTAAAAAATTATGCTGCCAACACAAAGGTATGCAGATTGAAGCCACTAGCTGCTCCATGGGAGAAAGGAGGGCAATCTCCTCCTATGCAGTTTACTGCTTTTGAAAACCCTCTGGAGGGTCAGCTATGGGTTGGTTGTGATATGTGGTACTCAACAACAACACATTCTTTAATAGTTGGAACACAGAATGTATGAAGTGTGAATGCTGGAAGACTAGATGTTGTGAAGAATGAAATGGAACGTATGAACCTCAACATTCTAGGCATTAGTGATATAAGATGGACTGGCATTGGCCACTCTGAATCAGACAACCATATGATATACAATGCTGGGAATGAAAAATTGAAGAAGAGTGATGTTGCTTTCATAGCTAAAAAGATAATTTTAAGTTCTATCCTGAAGAATAGTGTTGTGAGTTATAGGATATTATCCACAAGCATAAAAGAAGATCTGTTAATACAATTATTATTGAAATATATTCACTGACATCTAAAGTAAAAAAAAGGAAGAAATGGAAGATTTTTATCAAATTTTGAAGTTCAGAATTCACCAAACATGCGATTAAGATGTGGTGCCTGGTATGTGAAAGTTGGATAAAATGAAGAAGAAATGGTAGGCTGAAAGTACCGACTTAGTGACAGATATGAGGCCAGAAATAGAATGATCAAATTTTGTACATTCAGTGATTTATTCATCACAAATACTTTAAAAAAACACACACACAAACAGCAACTTTATACATAGACTTCACCTGATCGGCACCATAGGAATCAGACTGACTACATCTGTGGGGAAAAAATCATTGAAGAAGCTCTATATCAGCAATCAAAACCAGGCCAAGTTCTGATTATAAAACAGACCATCCATTACTCATGCTCAGGTCCAAATTGAGGCTAAAGAAAATGAAAACAAGCCCATAAGAACCAAAACATGATCTTGAGTATATCCCTCCTGAATTTAAAATTCAGATTAAGAATAGTTTAGAAGCATTGAACACCAATGATCAGATAAGTTGTGGCATGACATCAAGGATATCATCTATGAAGGCAGTAAAAGGTCATTGCATAGTCAGAAGAGAAAGAAAATGCCAAAATGGATGTCAGGAGTGACTCTGAAAATTGCACAAGAGCATCAAGAAGTCAAAACAAAGGGAAGAGCCACTGAAGGAGCTGCTGAAAGGAGTTGAACAGAAGATTTCAAAGGGCAGTTTGAGAAGACAAAGCAAAGTATTATAACAGGATGTGCAAAGAGCTGGTGTCAAGGAATAAAGAGAGAAGAACTCGCTCAGGATTTCTCAAACTGAAAGAACTGAAAAAAAAAATTCAAGCCTCGTGTTTTAATACTGAGAGATGCTATGGGCAAAATCTTGAATGATTAAGGAAGCATCAAAAGAAGACAGAAGGAATACACAGAATCACTGTATTGAAAAGAATTGGTGGACCTTCAAATATGCCATATAGTCAAGAGCCAATGGTGATGAAAGAAGAAGTTCAACCTGCACTGAAGGCATTGGCAAAAAAAAAAAAATTTAAAAAAATAAAGAAGGCCCTAGGAACAGGTGGGATAGCATTTGACATGTTTCAACTAACAGATGCAGCCCTGGATGTACTCAACAGTCTATGCTAGAAAATTTAGAGGACAGCTGCCAAGCAAACTGACTGGAAGAGCTCCATATTTGTTCCTGTTCCTAAGAAAGATAATCCAAAAGAATGTGGAAATAACCAAATAATATTATTAATATCACATGCAAGCAAAATATTACCTAAGATAATTTTTAAAAACAGCTAGAATAGTACACTGACAGAGAACTGCCAAAAGCTTGGTTTTATAAGAGGCCCTGGCATCAGAGATATCATTGCTGATGTCAGATAGATCCTAACTGAAAGCAGAGAATTCCAGAAGAACGTCTATTTGTGCTTTATTGACTATGCAAAGGCATTTGACTGTGTGGGTCATGAAAAATTACACCAAACATGAAAAATAATGGGAATCCCAGAAGATTACAGCCTTCAATGTAGATTACATCAAGAAAACAAAAGTTCTCACCACTGAACTGATAGTAACATCATAATAGATAGAGAAAAGATTGAAACTGTTAGTGATTTAATCTTATTTGGATCCACAATCATCACCTTGGTACCAGCAGTCAGAAGATCAGGAGACATATTACACTAGAAAAGTCAGTAGTCAGAGACCTCTCCAAATTATTGGAGAGCAGTGATAGCAGTTTGAAGACTAAGGTGCACCTGATTCAGGCTGAGGAAGTTTCAATTTCAACTTGCTATGTGTTTGAGAACTGACCATTCAATAAGGATGACAGAAGAAGAATTGATGTCTTTGAGCTGTGATGTTGGAGATCACTAAACATCCCATGGATGGCCAAAAGAACAAAAAAAGTGCTGTCAGATTGCACCTTACAGGCAAGGATAATGAACCTTCAATTTACATACTTTGGGCATGTTGCTAGAACAGGGGTATTCCTTGGAAAGGGGCACCATACTAGAAAAGGTGGAAAGTCAAAGAAAGAAAAAGGAAGAGCCTCAATGAGATGGATTGACACAGTGACTGCAGCAATGGGCTCAAGTATGTCAGAAATTATGAGGATGGCACAAGGGAGGACAGGGTCTAGATATGATGCTCATAGGGTCGCTATAAGTCATACTTGACTTGATGGCATATAACAGCAACAGCAATACATCCTACCAAAACCATGTTACAGAACTAGAAACAGAGTTTTAGTTTCTGAAAAGGAAACTTAAGGGTCCACACTGGACCTGAGCTTGGGAAGAGCTATCTTTTTTTCTCTTTATCATCTTTCCTCAGGCTCCGTTCTGCTAACTGGAGGCCTACTCCAATGAACTATTCTGGCCCTGCCTTCTACCTTGGTACACTGAGGGCTGGCCCTTCTCCCAAGGACACCTTTCTGAGACTGCAGGTAAGTGAGATGCCCTCTTCTACCCTAGTTTTCCAGCCGTTGACTCAGAGAACTCTGAAGCAAAGCCTTCTGTTCTTCATAAGAATTTTTCTTTCCTTTTCTTCTCTCTCTCATTTGCAAAGAACTCTTCCAACCTTCATCAATCTTTTTAATACAATATCCATCTTGAAGATGTAAGAGACTAAAAGGAAAAGAAATACAGCAACCTTATAAGACCTCTTTAATTCTCAGAGCTAACCATTGCCAAAAGTTTGTGTTTTCATATACAACTTTGCCAGATGTTTCTAGAATGTGGAAATTAACATCACATGCAAGTAAAACTTTGCTGAAGATAATTTAAAAACAATTGCAGCCATACATGGACAGAGAACAAGCTTTACTGAGAAGAGAACATGGAACAAGTGATGTCACCTGATGTCAGAAAGATCTTGGCTAAAGGCAGAGAATATCATGAGGATGTTTACTGATATTTCATTGACTATGGAAAAGCATTTAATTATATGGATCAAAATAAATTAGAGCAATAACACTACAAACAGGAGGTTCTGGAATATGTATAACTTGTGCATAAACCAAGAGAAAGTTGGTTGAATAGAACAAGGGGACAATGTGTGATGTAAAATTAGGAAAGGAGTGTGTCAGAGTGGTGTCCTTTGACCACATGTGTTCCATCTGTAAACTAAGCTAATACTTTGAAAAGTTAAACTATATGAGGAAGAACTCAGCATAAAGATTAAAGGAAGACTCATAAACTGTGATATGCAGATGACACAATTTTGCTTGCTGAGAGTAAACAGGCACTTACTGATGAAGAGCAATTGCTATAGCTTTCAGTTTGTGTTACTTCGACGTAAGGAAAACAACACATCTTCACAAACCAGACCTATAAACAACCTTCTGTTCATGGAGAACCTATTGAAGTTGTTAAGGAAATTCATATTACTTGGATATATGATAAACCTCCCCACAGAAGCAACAAATGATGTGTTACATTAGGCAAATCTGCTAAAAAAAGACTTCTTTAAAGAACTAAGAAGCAAAGTCACGTTGAGGCTAAGGTGTACCTGACTCTCTATTGTGTTTTCTGGTACTTCATATGCATGTTGCTGTGATGTGTTATTTTCACTTTTGTCTGGGATTCCAATGAGAAGCTGCACTATCCCAAAGGCACACAGTTTGAATCCACCAGCTGCTCCAGAGGAGAGGAATGGGCAATCTCTTTCCAGGAGTTTTACTGCCACTGAAAACCTGCTGGAAAGTCAGCTGTGAGTTGAGTCTGACTCAATGACTCATAACAACAACCACAATTTAGTTAACTGTTCTGCTGGTGATGTGCATTTGTATTATTTCTAGTATTTAACTTAAATGAAGACTTTCCATCAACTTCTACAGTGTAAAATTGGTGGAATAGTAAATCAAGATATATTTATAATAATGGATGATTAGAATGTAAAAGTTGGGAATAAAAAAAGATTGTTGTTGTTAAGTGCCATCAAGTTGTAGGTGACTCATAGCAGCCCTAGGAAAGAAAGTCCTTGACACTTGCGTGACTTTCATCCTTTCTCCCGGTTCATAGGGTTTTCAGAGGCAAGCTATTTATGGAAGTGGATATCACTCCTGTTTCCAAGCTTGTTTTAACCGGGAAGCACCACCAAATACTGTCCACCATGGGTAATCATTATCACATTTGACATGTCAGTGTCACAGTGTTCAGCTTCACAGTGACCACAAGTTACCTCTGTATGGCAAGTGGACACACCAGAGCTATATGACCCAGAAGAATGTTTCATCCAAGGGCCACGTTTTACAGTCACCCACCCTTGGCTTGGTAGCATCACTTTCGGTCCACTAGACCAACTGGTCTCTCTCGATGTTAAGTGTGACCCTATGAACAAAAGTCCTCGTCACTTGTGTGTCTTTCATCCTTTCTCCAGGTTCACAGGAACCTGGGAAAAAAAGGTTAATGATGAGAAAATAAGGCCTTGGTGATAAACACAAGGCCTAAATTCACATGATTAATTTTGTTCAATCCATACTATATTCATGGCAAATAACTATTAAAAACATCAGGCAGAACAGCACCAGGGCCCACTGTAGAACATAACATCAGCTATTCACACTAACGTTCACATTGATGCTGAAGAAAATGAAAGCAAGATTGTAAGAGCCAAAATAATGATCTTAAGCATACCCTGTGGTACTAGGGATATAGCTAATGTTAGATGGATCGTAGCTGAAAGCAAGGAATACCAGAAGACTGTCTAACTGTGTTTCATTGACCATGCAAAGACTTTTGACTGTGTGGGTCACAAAAAATGGGGACTAACTCTGAGAAGAATGGGTATCACAGAACACTTGATTGTGTTATGCAAAACTGATACTTTGACCAAGAAAAAGTCATCAGAACAGAAGAGGGAAACACTACATCGTTCAAAATTAGAAAGGATGTACACCAGGGATGTGTTCTATTCCATACCTTTTCAATCTATATGCAGAACAGATTATCTGAGAGGCTGGGCTCTATGAGGAGAAATGTGGCATCAGGATTGGAGGAAGACTTACCAATAGTCTGTGTTATGCAGATGACACAACCCTAATTGTTGAAACTGAAGAGGACCTGAAGGGCTGCAGAAGGCCTTCAATATGCATTGAAGCTCAACATCAAGAAAACAAAGATTCTCACCACTGGTCCCATTGGCAGTATCATGATAGATGGTGAGGAAATTGACATTATTAACAGCTTTAGTTTGTTTGGCTCCACAATCAACACTCTTGGTACTAGCAGCCAGGAAATGAAAAGATGAACTGTATTGAGAAAGTCTGCTGTCAGAGAACTCTCCAAAGTACTAAGCAATGATGTCAGTCTGGAGACTAAGGTGTGCCTGGCCAGGCCATGGTGTTTGCAATTGCTTGCTCTGCATCAAAAAGCTGGACAATAACTAGGGGTGATAGAAAGGGAATTGATGCCTTTGAGCTGTGGTGCTGGGGAAGAGTATTGAATATGCCATGGACTGCTAGGAAAGCAAACAGATTCATCATAGAGAGGGTAAAACCAGGCTGCTCTTGGAGGAAAGGGTTCTGAAGCTTCATCTGACATACTTTGGACACGTTGCAAGGAGGGATCAGTTCTTTGAGAGGGACGTCATGCTTTTGAGGGTGGAGAGATAGCACAGAGAGGAAGATCTTCAATGAGATGGATTGATTCGATGACTGGGGCAATTGGGGTAGGTGTGTCAGAGACATAAAGATTGGTTAAGGATAGAGCGGGGCTTAAGGCTGTAGTACATAGTGTCGCTATGAGTTGCAGATGACTCGAAAGCACATAACAACAACAAGCATATCCTACCTGAATTTAGAGACCATCTCAAGAGTAGATTTGTTATGCTGTACACTAATTACTGAAGACAAGATGAATTGTAAGATAACATCAGAATATTAATCACGAAGAAGGGAAATATCATTATAAGTAAAAGAAAGAAAAGACAAATATAGATGTCAGAGCAGATTATAACACTTGCCCTTGAACATAGAGAAGTTAAGGTGAAAGAAAAATAATAAAGTATAAGAGCTGATCAGAAGATTTCAAAGAGCAGCTTGAGAAGATAAAACAAAGTGTTTCAATGAAATATATAAAGGCACAGTGTTAGAAAGCAAAAAGGAAAGAATATATTTGCCATTTTGAAGAAGAACTAAAGAAGTTAAATACTTCAGGATTATATGGGCAAAATATTGATTGATACAAAGATCAAAAAAGATGGAAAGGATACACGGAGTTACTACACACACACACACACACCCAAAAAAACACATCATTGATGCTCAACTATTTCAAGACCAAGAACCAATGGTAATGGTGAATGAAATCCAGGCTTCACTAAAGACATTAGTAAAAAATGGAGGTATAGGAATTGATGGAATTACAACCAAGGTGCTTCAACAAACAGATACTGCCCTAGCCATATAGGCACCCCTACCTAAAATAGCATGCAGTGTTCATGCTTGGACCAGGAGGCAGTCGTCAGAACAGAGCAAGGGAACACTGCATGGTTCAAAATTGGGAAGGGCATACGCCAGGGATGCATCCTATCTCCATACCTTTTCAACCTATATGCAGAACAAATTATCCGGGAGGCTGGGCTCTATGAGGAGAAATGTGG